GTGCGGGTCCCACTCCTGCAACTTCCTTGCCGTGGGCCACCAGTCGCCGAACACAAAGCTCTGGATGACCCTGACCCTCGACCCCAAGGCTGTGTGCTGCCAGGGTCTGCCCAGGCCTCGAATGCTAGCAGCGCGCCGACAGGCCGCCAGGAAGCCAGCCCACCTGCAGGTTTCGGGGCTGGTGGTGGACTTGAGCGCGCGGGCCCACTCGAGGCGCAAGGGCACCTGCTTGACGACAAGTCCCCGCGAGCGAGGGGGTGCACGCCGCGGACCTTCAATCCTGTGGAGGCGAGACAGGTAGTCCTCCACCATGTCCAGCCAGAACGCCGAGGCCTCCTGGATGTCCCCGACCTCGCCCCCCAGCTCCCAGGCCCAGCCCCCACTGTCGAGCTCTGGCGGCGCGGGCTGCGTCGGCGGAGGGAGCTCGAGGGGAAACCTGGCGGGGTAGCTGGCCTTCGTGATGGCTGCCCTCCTGTGCAGGCCGTTCAGCTCCATGACCGCAGGCGAGCGCGGGTGCAGCGGCGCCTGGCTGAGGACCTCCACCTTGCCAACACGGCTGGCCAGCACCGTCAAGACCACAGCAAAATCATACTCACTATTGCCACAGGTGGCCTGCCACGGCCTGACCACGACCCCATCAGCCTTGCTGGCCCAGCTGGTCAGCAAGCCAGGCTCGATGTTCCAGTCGGTCATGATGATCCACGGCCACTCGAAAGTGCCAAGCCACTCCATCAGCGCGCCCAGCAGCACGACGTTGTCACCAACGAGCCTTATGCTGTCGACGAGGTAGGCCGAGATCACAAAAATGGGGAAGCCGAGCCCCGTGTTCAGCTTGACCGCTTGGGCTCGGTGCCCTGGCAGGCCTGTAAAGCGCGCAGGTCGCTCCTCACGCGCAGCAGGGACAGAGGCCAGCGCAGCGACGCCCCCTGAGCTGTCCAGCGGCCCTGGCCCAGTCGATATGGCCTCGGCACCACTCCAGATGTACCCGGCCTGCCTTGACCACTTCTCGGCCGCGCTGAGCTTGGACTTCGTCTTCAGGCGGTGCTCCTGCATGCACACCACGCCCCTGCCAGCACCGACGCCCTTGGCCCACTCCAGCAGCCCTTGGCAGCTCGACCACGCGTTGGTGTTGGCAGTCATGAAGTGCAACACCTCGGGCTCGGCGGCATCTCCAGCCACCTCTCCAGAGCTCCCTCCAGCGGCAAGTGGAGCGCCGCTAAACTCGCTGTTTCTTCGCTGCACGCTGGGCGAAGACACCCAGTGAGGAGGCCATGCGTCTGATCTTGGCCTTGTCCTCGTCAGCTTTTTCACCATTGATGTCGAACTTAGGCAAGGTGCCTCCTCCTTCCTCGACGGCAGCTCTGACTGCCTCGACCAAGTCTTCGTCGATGTCGAAGTCGGGCACCTCAGCATCGATGCCGCCTGGGTCGTCGGCATCAGGAGCACCACCAGCAGCGCCAGCAGCCTCAGCGGCTGCGCCAGCCACTGCCTCACGCTTGGCAGCCTCCCTGCGCTGCTCCTCGCGCATGGCAGCGGCCAGCTCGGCGAAGAAGGCGGAGACGGACTCGGCCTGCTCCTTGATCTTCTCCGCACCTGGAGCAGCCGCCTGCGCGTACGCCAGCACCTTCTGGAAGGCCTCGATGCCACCGACGGTGATCTGCTCCTTGCTGGTCTCGACTGCGGCCTCGACGTTCTTGACGCGCGCCAGCTCCTCCAGCTCGGCGAGCTTGGCCTCGTGCTCGCGCAGCTGGCGGACCTCGGCATCGTACTGCGCCTGCGCCGCCGCGAGCTCCGCAGCCCGCTCCTCGACACGGCCCTTGGACTTCTCCACCTGCTTGGCCTTGTCAGCGCGGCGCTGCAGAATCTGGGAGAGAGACTTGGAGGCCAGGTCTCCTCCTCCCTCGGGCGGCGGCGGCGCCGCGATCGCGCCGAGCTGGCTCTCGGTGAGGCCAGGCTGGCCTGCCGCCACGAGCAGCTCGTTGGCGGCCGCGAGGAGCTTGGCCCCACCCGCGGGCTCTGGCTCCAGAGGCACGGCCGCAGCAGGGCGGCGGGCGCCCTTGGCCCCCCCAGACGGCTGCGGCCTGGGCCACTCCGCCGCATCGAGGTCCTGCACCCCTCCCTGGGGCTTGGACCACGGCGCTCACTTGCCTCCCCCGCGCCCGCCACCACCCTTGACCGAGGGCGGCCCAGCAGGCGCAGGCGCCGCGAACTGCTTGAGGAAGGCCATGACCTTGGGCGGTGCCTTGGCCCCGCACGACCTGCAGGCTGCGCGGGACAGGTTGTTGGGGCAGCCGCCGCAGCTCCCCGAACAGATCCACTGACATTGCTTCTCGCCCGAGCCTTGGGCACCATGCTGCGGTGCCATAGGCTGGGCCCTCGTACACTCTGGCTCGCTGCTACGTGCCGCTTCGAAGTGCGCAGCAGCAAACTCAAGCTTTCACCTCAATCGCTCGAGCCGAAACGGCTGGAGGCCGAGGACGAGGATGAAGACGCCGAGGACGAGGACAAGGACGACGACGGCGACGACGACGACGAGGACGAGGACGACGACAACGACAACGACGAGGAAGATGAGGTTTCCGGAGACCTCTGGAGGCGTCTGGCGGATCGTCGAGGCCCTCGACTGCGACGACGACGAGGACGAGAACGAGGACGGGGACGACGAAGAGGACGACGACGACAGGGACAAGACGAGGACGAGGACGGGGATGACGATGGCGACGACGACGAGGACGATGACGAAGACGTGGACGAGGATGAGAACAACGACGAGGACGATGACGACGGCCGCCTCTGAAGGTCTCCAGAGATCTCGAGGCCTGAGGAAGTCTCATGAGACCTCTGCAGGCGTCTGAAGGCCCTTCGAAGCCCTCGGCGACGACAACGACGACGACGACGACGATAATGACGACGACGATAATGACAACGACAAGGAGGACGAGGACGAGGACGGGGACGACGAGGACGAGGACAAGGACGAGGGACGAGGACGCGGACGACGACGAGGACGAGGACGAGGACGACACAGACGACGATGACGAGGACGAGGACGACGACGACGAGGAGGAAAACGAGGACGAGGACGAGAACGGCCGCCTCTGAAGGTCTCTGGAGGTCTCTGGAGGCCTACGGAGGTCTGCGGCGACGACAACGACGACAAGGACGACGACGAGGACGACGACGGCGACGAGGTCGAAGAGGATGACGATGACGACGACAGGGACGAAGACAACAACGACGACGAAAACGAGGACGACAATGACGACGACTAAAGCGACGACGACGACGATAACGACGACAGCAACAACAACTACGACGACATCGACGACGACGACGACGAGGACGACGAGGACAACCGTGACGACGACGACGACGACGACGACGACGACGACGACGACGACGACGACGACGGGGATGGAGACGACAGCGACGACGACGGCGACGACGACGATGATGACGACGACGACGGCCGCCTCAGAAGGTTTACAGAGGTCTTCCGAGGCCTCAGGAGGTCTCCAGAGGCCTGTGGAAGCGTCAGCAGGTCCTTCGAGGCCCTCGGACACGACGACGAACGTTGAAGTAGCCTGTGAGCACCACAGTAGCCTGCAAGCATCACAATGGCAGTGCCGGAGGCGTGCAACTGGGGGGTTGGGAGGAGGGTGACGTCATGGGGGGTGTGGGGGGGGGCATAACGCGCGTTATGGCCAAGAGAGATTGCGGAGTCGCTGGAACCAGGATAGGGGAGAAGAGGGGAGAAGAGGGATGAGGGGAAGGCAGGGAGGGTGCCTTAAGTGTCTGCATGTCCCCGCTGTCACCGCTAACAGGCGGAGTGAAGGGCCCGGAGCGGCTGGAGCAAGGAGGAGGGAGAAGGAGAGGAGGAGGAGGACGAGGGGGAGATGGTGGAGAGTATGGAGGAGAGCGGAAAAAAGAGCGGGCAGGGTGCTGAAACAGGCAACGGCGTCGGCGGTGGTGCAAAGACCCCCGCCAGGAGAGGGAAGAGAGAAGGGCTCGGAAGAGGATCGGAGCGGGAGCAAGGGGAGGGGAGGGTCAAGAGAAAGGAGAGAGGAGCGGGAATGACCCTGAGACAGTGAGGTGTGTCTGTACTGGAATGGGGGGCGAACTAACTTAACTGCGGGTCCCCCCCGTCGCCCCGAAGCGGCGTGTTGAGGACTCTCGTAGGGTCAACCTGGACGCTTTTGGGGCCATCTTGGCGTCCCTTGGGGTCTCTGGGGGCCGACTTTGGTCAAGGGTCTGGGGGAATGTGGAGCCTTTGTTGGGGCTGCCTGGGGCCGCAAGGAGGCGATTTTGGGGAATCTCGTGGAACTGTTGGAGCGGCCCTGGGCCTTGAAGCGCCTTGGAGGCGAGCCGAGGGCATCTTGGGCTGTGGCGTAGTCCTTTGAAGCCCTCTTGGAGTCCCGTTTGATTCGCTCTGGGGCCCTTTCTGACCCCCTGGAGAGCACAATATTTGGAAACAACGTCCCTTGAAATATGGATAACTGGAACAAATGCCGCAATTTTGCACATTTCGGCCTCCTGGGCCCCTCGTCGGACGGTCTGTTTGCGGGCCTCCCCGAAGCTACCCCGGGGCTCTTCTCGGGAACCTCGTTGGGCGTCCTCGGGAGCTCTGGGGGCCTCGGGGGTAGGACCCATTCTGGCCAGTGGAGATTGGAGTGGCACCCAGATTAACCGGCAACCACTGCAGCAGATTCTTGAACAAATCTAGCTGGGGGTTGCTAACGGTACCCCTGGCCCAAAGTGCCCCCAGATTTTCGCTCCATTTTGGAGCCCCTGGGGCCCTCTGGGCCTGGTGAGGGGTGCTTTGGAGGCCGGAGCCTCCCTGGAGATGGGGGCGCCTTGGGCTAGGGGCACTTCAAGCAACACCTGGACCAGGGCCCACTGCCAACGCCACTGGTCTCCTCCCTGGGGGCACGCTTCGACGGAAATTGGAACTCAGATGACAATGGGCTCCTGTTTCGCCCTCCGCATCTCGCTCAGCAGCGCTAAGGCCCGCTGCCACTGCTCGCCCTTCTCGCACGCGCTAATCCCAGCGTTGTAGCTGACTAGGGCAGACCTGTGGACTCCGTCCACGACATCAGCTCGACGTGGCGAGGGGTCTCTGGGCAAGCGCGGCGTGCCTGTCGCCTCTCGTCCGCTCCCCCGCTCCTGGAGGGAATTCTGAAGCCACTGAAGGCTTCGTGGGGGCCGTTTCGGAGCCTCTTCGGCCTTCTTTTGGGCCTCCCGGGGGGGCTCTTAGGGCCCTCTCGGGCCGTCTTGGGTGCCTCTTGGGCCGTCTTGGGGCCGTCTGAGGCCCGCCTCGGCGCCTCTTGGGCTGTCTTGGGCCGTCTTGGGCCGCTCCTGGGGCCGTCTTGGGTGCCTCTTGGGCCGTCTTGGGCGCCTCCTGGGCCGTCCTGGGGCCGTCCTGGGGCGTCTTGGGACCGTCTGGGGGCCCTCCTGGCCCGTCTTGGGGCTCTCTTGGGGTCCTCTTCGGCCGTCTTGGAGCGGTCGGGGGGACTTCTTGGGCCGTCTTGGAGCGTCGGGAAGCCGAAGAGGCGAGGAGGCCGAAAACATCGAAAAACACAATAGAAATCGACGATTTCTGTCGCTCGGGGCCCTCTTGGGAGGCCTCTTGGGAGGCCTCTTCGGGCGTCTTGGACGCCTCTTGGGCCGTCTGGGGCGAATCTCGGGCGTCTTGGGCCCATCTTTAAGCGTGCCGGGGCTCTCCGGGGCCGTCTTGGGGGCTTCTGGGGGCCCTCTCGACATGTCCTGGAGCCTGCCTGGGCGGCCCGGGGCGGCCCGGGGCCAGCCCGGGGCGGTTTTGGTGCATTGGGGCCTGCGCCATTCTGGCACGCACTGGGCCCTGCAATGTAGTAGAGACTAGGGCAGACCTGTGGACTCCGTCCACGACATCAGCTCGACGTGGCGAGGGGTCTCTGACCACGATGGCCAGTTGAAGGCGCTCTCCACACCCTCCAGGACCTCCTGCTCTCCTGTGTTCCTCAGCTGCTGCTGCTGCTCGGAGGTCCTGCTGCTTCCTCCCCCTCCTCCTCCTCCTCCGCCTCCTCCTCCTCCTCTCCTCCTCCTCCTCTTCCACCTTCTTCTCCTCTTTGGCTGGATTCTCCATGCCCTCGGTCGGCAATCGTCGATCCTACGACGACTCTCCCCAACAGAGAAACATCGAAGGCCCTCGGAGCGTCCAACATTGTTCTTTTGTGCCTTCGATATGCCGGTCGCCTCTCGTCCGCTCCCCCCCTCCTGGAAGCAATTCTGAGGCCACTTAGGGCTTCGTGGGGGCCGTTTGGGGATCTCTTGGGGCGTTTTGCCTGCGATATGCCTGTCGCCTCTCGTCCGCTCCCCCGCTCCTGGAGGGAATTCTGAAGCCACTGAAGGCTTCGTGGGGGCCGTTTCGGAGCCTCTTCGGCCTTCTTTTGGGCCTCCCGGGGGGGCTCTTAGGGCCCTCTCGGGCCGTCTTGGGTGCCTCTTGGGCCGTCTTGGGGCCGTCTGAGGCCCGCCTCGGCGCCTCTTGGGCTGTCTTGGGCCGTCTTGGGCCGCTCCTGGGGCCGTCTTGGGTGCCTCTTGGGCCGTCTTGGGCGCCTCCTGGGCCGTCCTGGGGCCGTCCTGGGGCGTCTTGGGACCGTCTTGGGGGCCCTCCTGGCCCGTCTTGGGGCTCTCTTGGGGTCCTCTTCGGCCGTCTTGGAGCGGTCGGGGGGACTTCTTGGGCCGTCTTGGAGCGTCGGGAAGCCGAAGAGGCGAGGAGGCCGAAAACATCGAAAAACACAATAGAAATCGTCGATTTCTGTCGCTCGGGGCCCTCTTGGGAGGCCCCTTGGGAGGCCTCTTCGGGCGTCTTGGACGCCTCTTGGGCCGCCTGGGGCGAATCTCGGGCGTCTTGGGCCCATCTTTAAGCGTGCCGGGGCTCTCCGGGGCCGTCTTGGGGGCTTCTGGGGGCCCTCTCGACATGTCCTGGAGCCTGCCTGGGCGGCCCGGGGCGGCCCGGGGCCAGCCCGGGGCGGTTTCGGTGCATTGGGGCCTGCGCCATTCTGGCACGCACTGGGCCCTGCAATGTAGTAGAGACTAGGGCTGACCCGTGGATTCCGTCCACGACATCGTTCTGAAGGAGGCCTTGGTTGGGCGGCGGAGGTGCTCCCGAAGAGCTATCGACACCGCCATGCGGAGAGGCTTCACCTTCTCCTTCTAGGATCACCCGCGCAATTGTCGTGACACGTTTGCCAGCTATCGGAAGGCGGGCGATCCCCCGGTGCTGTGGTGGGCGTCTTGGGGCGGGCGGGAGGAGCACCACCGGAAACTTCAAAACCCTCGAGAATCGGAGGTGAGGGGGTGAGATCGAAGTGGAACGGAGAGCCCCCCTACAGGGAAATCGGTTTCGGTTTCGTGTTCGTGCGTGCCGTGCGTGCGGGCGAGGCGAAGCTGCGTGGGCGGGCGAAGTCTCCTCTGGCTGAGGCGCGGCCAGACCAAATGATTCCTGTCCGGGGGCCAGTGCCGCGCGGTGTCCCGCCGGTGTCCCGCCTCCAGCTGAGGCGCGGCTGGACTAAATGATTCCTCTCCGGGGGCCGGTGCCGCGCGGTGTCTCGCCGGTGTCCCGTCGGTGTCCCGATGATGATGATGATGATGATGATGATGATGATGATGATGATGAAAATGATGATGCTGATGATGATGATGATGGTGATGATGATGATGATGTTGATGATGTTGTTGATGATGATGATGGTGATGGTGGTGCTGATGATGGTGCCCCGATGATGATGATGATGATGATGATGATGGTGATGATGATGACGATGATGTTGACGATGTTGATGATGATGGTGGTGATGATGATGGTGTCCCGATGATGGTGATGATGATGATGATGATGATGATGATGATGTTGATGATTATGTTGCTGATGATGATGGTGCCCCGATGATGATGATGATGATGATGCTGATGATCCTGATGATGGTGATGACGATGAGATGATGATGATGAGATGATGAAGATGATGATGATGATGATGATGATGAAGATGACGATGGTGATGGTTTCCCGACGATGAAGATGATGAGGTTGATGATGATGCTGTTGATAATGATGGCGATGATGATGATGTCCCGATGATGATGATGATGATGATGATGATGATGCTGATGGCGATGATGACGGTGTCCCGATGATGATGACGCTGATGATGATGATGATGATGAGGATGATCATGAGGTGATGATGATGATTTTGATAATGTTGGCCCGATGATGGTGATGATGATGCTGATGTTGATGATGATGATGATGGTGTCCCGAATGCGATGATGATGGTGACGACGATGATGTTGTCCCGATGATGATGATTATGATGATGTTGCTGATGCTGATGTTCATGATGATGCTGTCCCGATGATGATGATGATGTTGATGATGTTGTTGATGATGATAGTGATGAGATTATGATGCTGATGATGGTGGTGTTCCGATGATGATGGTGTCCCGATGATGATGATGTTGATGATGATGGTGACGATGATGGTGCCCCGATGATGATGATGATGGTGATGATGATGTTGATGATGATGGCGATGAGGTGATGATGATGCTGGTGTCCCGATGATGATGATGCGGATGACGTTGATGACGATGCTGCTGATGACGATGATGACGTTGATTGTGAGATCGATTGTGATATCGGTAGTGAGATCGATAGTGAGACCGAATGTGAGATCGATTGTGAGATCGATAGTGAAATCGATAGTGAGATCGTGAGATCAATCGTCAGATCGATCGAATGAAATAGATTGAGTGAGATCGATTGTGAGATCGATCGAGTGAGTGAGATCGAGCGAGACCGATAGTGAGATCGATAGTGAGACCGATCGAGTGAGACGTTGGTTCCCCCCCCGAACCTCCTTATCACCCAAAGGGTGGTCGTATAGGTATCGATAGTTTTGCGGCCTCGGGGCCCTCGTGGGGGTCCCCTGGGAGCTCCGTGGAAGCTCGCGGGGGCCCTCCGAGCCCGTCCTGGGGCCCTCTCGGGCTCGCTGCTGGGGAACTTCCGCGATTCTCTCGAGGCCTTCGCGTCGGGGCCCTCATGGGCCGTCCCGGGGCTGTCCCGGGCCGAGACGGCGTCACCCCACGGGCGGGGCCCCCGGGGCGCCGCCGCGGGTGACCATCGCTCGCCCTTCTCGCACGCGCAATGCCCGGTATTGTAGTATAGACTAAGGCTGACCCGCGGCCTTCCGGCCGCGGAATCTGCCCGCCATGGCGTGAACGTGGAAGTGGAGCGTCTCCGAGGCCTCGTGGGTGAGGGGCGGTTGAAGCGGACGGCGTGGATGGAGGTGGCCGCTGGAGGGGGAGGTGGGCGAGGGATGCAGGCAAGCAGGCCTGAAGGCAGGAACGCGGTGGTTGAGGCGGTGTCAGTGGAAGCACACCCATGTAGGCATGACATGGTGCGGACAAGAGCTGTTTCTCACGCCGCAATCTGTGTTCATCATAGCTTCTCCAGGGAGGGTAACCGTGATAATTTTATCTGCCCTTCGCCGGGGCCGAATGTTTTTTTTAATCTGGTAGTGTGGTGACAGTGGGGCCGGTGGGCGCGGCCTAAGAGGCCCGCAAGAGGGCGGCGAGACAGCCCAAAAGGTTTCCAGGACGGGACAAGAGGTTTCCCAGACGGCCCCTTAGGGCCCCACGAACTCCCTAAGACGGGCTCCAGTGCGAGCACACGAATCGACCTTTCGAGCGCACCGCCCCAACACGTCCCCAAAAGGCGCAGAGATGGCTCCCAGAGAGTCCAAGACGCCCCCAAGACGACGCTCGAAGTTCGACGCTCCACAAGAGAGAAGCATCCAAGGCCTATTGGGGGGCGCTTGGGGGCATCTGTTCGTCCTCCTGGGGTCTCTCGGGGCCCTCTTGGGCATTCCTTTTGGACCGTCTTGGGGCGATGTGGGGCCGTCTTGGGCGCCTCTCGGACCATCGTGGGGCCGTCTTGGGGCCATCTTGGGCCGATATTGCGCGATCTTGGGGCTGTCGTTGGTGTTTCTTGGACCGTCTCGGGCGCCTCTGGAGCTGTCTCTAGGCAGTCTCGGGCCGTTTGGGGGTCCTCCTGGGGGCGTCTTGGGGCCTGTACAGCCATCTTGGAGACTGTGCAAACGGAAAAGCTTGGAGACGGGGCGGTGGAGGCCTGTACCGTCTTGGACACGGGGCGTTGGGGCCGTCTTGGCGCATCATTAACTGCTCTTGGGGCTGTCTTGGGTGCGTCTTGGGCATTCTTGGGCGCCTCGGGAGCTGTTCCTGGGCCCTGTGGGACCGTTTGGGGGCCCTCCTGGGGGCCTCTGGGCGCGTCTTGGGGCGAGCTGGGGGGCCTGTATAGCCGTCTTGGAGGCTGTGAACGCGAAAAATGGAACATACTGAACATTTATTTTTCCCGTGCGGAATGGGGCGATATTGGCCTCTTGGAGCTCTCCTGGATGCCCAGGGGCCTCTGGGGCTGTCTTGGGGCTCCCAGGGGAGTTCTGAGGCCGTCCTGGCCGTGGGCCATTATTGGCTGCTCTTGGGGCTGCCTTGGGTGCGTCTTGGGCCGTCTCGGGCGCCTCTGAAATCGTCCCGGGGCTGTGTGGGGCCGTTTGGGGGCCCTCCTGGGGGCCATTGGGCGCGTCTTGGGGCGAGCTGGGGGGCCTGTATAGCCGTCTTGGACGCTGTGAGGACGAAAAGAACCAGATATAATGAAAATGTGCGCTTCCCGTCGGGAATGGGACGATTTTGCCCTCTTGGGGCTCTCCTGGAGGCCCACCTGGGCCATCCTGGGAGCCTCCTGGCCTGCCTTGGGAGCCTCTGGGGCCAGATCTTCCCTGGGAAGCCTCTGTTATAGGCGGTCTGTGGGGTGTCATATGGGGCCCTCTCTGTTTTGCCCCCCCCCCCCCCCCCCCCGCATGCGTTCTGCACTCTCCGCCCGCCGCCGCTCGCCTCGCCAGTGCGGCCACTCGTGGCCCTGGCCTCGGCGCTTCCCCGCCCGCAGACGGCCCGCAGGGCCGCGCACCACGCGGGTCTCTGTGCCCGCGCGCTGGCCCGCCGGCGCTGGCCCCGCTGGCCGGCCCAGCAGCAGCAGCCGCCGCCACCGCCGCCGCCGCCTGCCCCCCGCCGGCCCTGCGCGCCCCAGCGGCGCCCGCCGCCGCCAGTGGCCCTCTTGAGCCCGAGCTGGGCCTGATTCGGGCCTCTTGCGGGCCTCCTGCGGCTGGATGGGAGCTTTTCGGGGTCGGCTGGCTGTCTCGGGGGCCACTTTGGGGCGGCGGGTGCGACATGCTAGTTCCAGTTCCCACTCTGGGGGCCCTCTTGGGTCCCTCGCGGGGCCGTCATAGGCCGTCTTGGGTCCATATTGGGCCGCCTTGAGCCCAGGTTGGGCTGCCTGGGGGCCCTCTTGGGTGCTTGTTGGGCCGCCCTGGGGCGATGTTGGGGGCCTCTTGGGCCATCATGCAACATCGGAAGACCGTAAAGGCGAGAACGTCGAATTCCCTCAAAGACCATAAGACATCGATGATTTCGGCTTCTCTGGATCCTCTTGGGCAGCCTCTTGGGACGTTCTTGGCCAGTCTTGGGGGCCTCCTGGGCCGCTGGGGCGGTCTTGGACGCCTCGTCGGCCGTCTTCGGTTCGGGCCCCGCTGGGCCGTGTAGGGGGCGTGGCCCGAGGCCCGCAGGGCTGTCGGAGCTGCCCAGGGGCGATTGGTGCACAGTACCTGCTCGTAGGCAGAGGTTCCGGCGCAGAAGAGGTGATGTCGGGCTCCAGCTTCGCCTCCCGCATCTCACTCAGCAGCGCAAGCGCTGGCTGCCACTGCCCGCCCTTCTCGCACGCGCTGATCGCAGCGTTGTAGCTGACTAGTGTGAACCCGTGGAGTAAGTCCACGGCGTGCTGAGCCTTGGACTCGCACGCCATAGGCGACCAGCTCGTCGAAGTTGAACAGCTCGGGCGTCCCTGGGGCGGGCGGTAGGGGCGACCTTCGGAAGCAGATGTGTGGTCACGTTTGAGGGCAATGGTTGGGGGCTTGTGTGGGGGCCAGGTTTGGGGGCGCCTGGGGACTACTCGTGGGGGCGACATTCGGGGGCCACGCTTACTGGGGCGGTAGGGGCGACCTTCGGAGGCTTTATGTGGGGGCCGCCTTTGGGAGTCCCGTTTGGGGGCCACGTGTGGGGCCGACGTTTACGGGGCCACGTCTGGGGGCCACCCCGGAAAGCAGTCGGGGGAGCTCCAGGGGCACTTACCTGGAAGCGTGAGAAGGAGTGGGTTTTTGCTAATCGCGCCGGGCCTGGGGGAGATTAGCAAAAACACATGGTTTTCAGGCATAGTCAGAATGAGGGGAACACGTTTGCGGGCCTCGGTTGGGGGCCGCGCAGGGAGGTCTTGGGGCCATCTTGGGGGTCCCGGGCCGTCTCGGAGGTCGCTGTCGGCCCTCTTGGGCGACATCTGGGGCTCTTCTTGGGGCGTCTTGGGGCCATCTTGGGGGTCTCGGGCCGTCTCGGAGGTCGCTTTGGGCCCGCTCGGGCGGGATCTGGGGCCTGGTTGGGGCTGACTTGGGGGTCACTTGAAGCTCTCTTGGGCCGTCTTGGAGCCCTCGTGGGGGAGCGTCTCAGAGCTCTGGGCCAGGGGCGTCCTGGGGCCGTCGGGGAGCGGCTCAGAGCTCTGGCATGTCGAAGCCAGCAGAACCGAGAGAGCAGCGGTGAGGCCCCCGATACAGCCAAGGGTGCGGGTGCTGGTATACGTAGGGCCCTCGAACCGGCTGTAGTGGCCTGCGGGCAATCTCGCCGCGAGCCTGGGTAATGGGTAAGAGATCTCGTGGATGTTGGTTGGGATCTCGTGGTTGGCCTCTCGGGAGCCTCTGGGAGACAGTTTGGGGGCTTCTTGGTAGCAGTTTGGGGGCGTCTCGGGGCCTCTTGGGCTCTCTTTTGGGGCCTCTTGGGGGCCTTTTGGGGCGCTTGGCGGCCTCTGGGGGGCCTCTTGGAGCCTCTTTGGGGCGTCCTGGGGCCTCCTGGGGATGTCTTGGGAGCGTCCCGGCGTTTCTTTGGGGCGTCTTGGGGCTTCCTGGGGGCCTCTTGGGGTGGAGGCCTAGATTCTTCGGTGCCGGGTCCCCGTCTTGGGCCTCTCTTGGGGCCTTCTTGGGGCCCTCCTGGGCCGTCTTGGGCGACTCTTGGGCCGTCTTGGGGCCCTCTTGGGCCGTCTTTGGGCCGTCTTGAAGGCCTCTTGGGCCGTCTTGGAACGGTCTTGGGGGCCTCTTCGGCGGCCGTGGAGCGTGGGAAAGCCGAAAAAGCGAGAAGGCCAGAAACATTGAAAAAAACAAAGAAAATCAACGATTTTGTTCTGCGGCCCCTCTTGGAGGTGCACTTCGAGCGCTCTGGGGGCCTCGTGGAGGCGTCCCGTCTTGGGCCGTCTTCGGGACCTCCTGAGGCCGTCTTGGGCCAATCTGGGAATCCTAGATCAGTCCGCGAGCGGTCCAGGGGCCTCCCAGGCCCGTCGGGCAGCGGCCCGGAGGCTCTCCGGGCGGCCCGCGAGCTCTCTGGGCGGCCCGGGGCGCTGCCACTGCTTGTACTTCTCGCGCGCGCTTCGCCCGGAATTGTAGTACAGACTAGGGCTGACCCGTGGACTCCGTCCACGACATCTTTCTGGAATGGTTCTCGGAGGAACGGCGCAGATTGCACCGAAAATCTACAAACACGGCGGCGGCTCGGGCGGCAGCAGCGAGACCGCGCCTTCGTGTCCGAGCTCTTGCAGCGCTCCAGCAGCTTGGCCCAGCGCACTGCTCGTTCACCCCCCTCCTATTGAGGACAGTTTCGAAGTCTCTCGGGGATGTGCGTCGAAGTCGAAGCCCATCTGAGGCGTCTCAGGAGCGCTCGGGGAAGGGCTCGGGAGGCCATCGGGGAAAGCCACCGAAAGCGCCGGGGAGGCTCGCAAGGATCTACAGGGAGGGCCCAAGAGAGCTTCAAGAAAATTTGAAATTCTGTAAAATCTTTAGAGAAACCGCTGTTGGGTCGGCCATCACCTCCGGGCGCGCCTTGATGGTGCGATCCAGTCGCATCACCGCCAACGGGAGGGTTTGTTCGCCATGTCCCATTCTGTTCGCCCAGAGGGTCTGTGGAGGCCTTCGGGCGAACAGAACGGGACAGGGCAAGGAATGGGGAAGACTTGTCCGAATCTCCTGGGCCCCCCAGGTGCTCGTCCGAAGAATGCGGAGAGGTCCCAGGGTCATATCAATTGGCTGCTGTCCCAGGGGTCCGGTCTGCTTGGCCCGAAGAGTTTGCCAAGGCCCCTGGGGGAACAGAATGGCACAGCATATCGGGCAAAGGGGGGCGGTAGCTGGCCTGTCAGACCCGGCGTTCGTCTTCTGCCCAAGCGGCGCGGGGCCCACGGGCCCCAGGGTTGGCGGCCCGCTGGGTTTCCTCTTGTTCGCCCACAGGGTTGGAGGAGGCCTCCAAGCGAACAGAATGGGGCAGGACAATGAATGTGGGAGACTTGTCGCAAGCTCCCAGCCCCCCCAAGTGTGCGCCCGAAGGGTGTGGGGCCGCGTTGGCTCCCTCAAAGGGCCGTCTTGGAGCCGTCTAGGCCCGTCTTGAGGGCGCCGTTTGCCGTGATGGGGCCGTCTTGGTTCGTCGTGGGCCCCTCATGGGCGCGTCCGTAGGCCGTCCTGGGCCCATCGGGGTCCTCGTGGGGCTGTCTTGGAGCCGTCTGGGACCGTGAGGGGGCCGCCTTGGAGTCGTCTTGGGCCCCTCCTGTGCGCCTCCTTGGGCCGTCCTGGGCCCAGCAGGGGCCGTGTTGGCACCCTCTTGGGGCTGTCTTGGAGCCGTCTTGAGCCGTCGCAGCGCGCCTTGGGTTGTGCTGGGTCCGTCTTGGCCCGTCTTGGGGCCTTCCTGGGCGTTTCCTCGGACCCTCCTGGGACTTTCTGGGGCCTCTTGGTGCATCGGACCGCCGAAACGGCGGGAAACGCAAAGGGTGTAACAGTAAACAATGGAAAATTAACGATTTTTGCCAGCTGGGGCTCTCTTGCCATCTTGGCCCGTCTTGAGGCCCCGACCGGGCGCGTCCTTGGGCCGTCCTGGGCGCACCCTCCTGGGACCGTCTTGGAATCGTCTTGGGCCGTCTTGAGCGCGCCTTGGGCCGTCCTGGGCCCGTCTGGGGCCGTGTTGGCACCCTCGCGGCGAGGAAGCTCAGAGGCGGGCTCGAGGCCTCCTTGGGGCCATTTTGGAAGCTGTTGGGGTCTCTGTTGGGGCCTCGTTTGGGCTCCTTGGGAGCCTCCTGGGGCCTCTTCGGGGGATTCTTGGCGGCCCCTTGGGGCCTCTTGGGGGCCTGTTTGGGCCTCCTGGCGCCCTCTTGGGGCGGAAGCCTTGGATTTTCGGTCCGTGGTCCCCCTCTTGGCCCCCTCTTGGGCCTGTCTTCCGGCCCTCGTGGGCCGTCTTGAGCGTCTCTTGGGTCGTCTTGGGGCCCTCTTGGGCTGTCTTGGGGCGCTCTTGGAAACCTCTTGGGGTGTTCTGGGGCGCTCTTGGAGGCCTCTTGGGCCGTCTTCGAGCGTCGGAAAGCGGAAAAGGCGAGAAGTCCAAAATCCTTCCAAAACCGTCGTAAAGCTGATGATTTTGAGGCCCAAAACCGTCCAAAACCTCCTGAGGCGGTCCCCTCGTCCGCCCCCCTCGCTTCGAAGCAGTTTTTAAGCCCCGTGGCACCTCTTGGGGACCTCTTTTGGGCTCCTGGGGGCCTCTTGGGCCTCTCTGGGCTCGTATATCGCGTCTTGGGCCGCTCTTCGGGCCATCTTGGGGTCCCGTTGGCCTGTCTTGGGCGACTCTGGGGCCGTCCTGGGGCCGCCTTGGACCGTGTTGGGGCCCTCTTGGACTGTCTTGGGGTCCTCTTGGGGACCTCTTCGACCGTCTTGGAGCGGTCTTGGATGCCTCTGGGGGGGGTTCGGAGCGTCGGGAAGCCGAAAAAGCGAGGAAGCAAAAAACTTCTGAAAAACAATGAAAATCAACGATTTTGGCCTCTCGGGGCTCTCTTGGGAAGCCTCTTGGGAGGCCTATTGGGCCGTCTTGGGGAGCTCTTGGGCCGTCTTGGGCCAATCTTGGGCGTCTTGGCCGGATCATTGCACGTCTCGGGGCCCTCTTGGGCCGCCTTCGGGGCATCTTGAGCGGCTCGGAGCCGTCTTTGGGCCGTCGGGGCGGCCTCCGGAGCGTCTCGGAGCCGTTTCTAGTCATTTGGGTGGATTTCCTTCTGGCACGCGGTTCCTCCGGCCATATAGTATAGAGGCACGCGGTTCCTCCGGCCATATAGTATAGACTACTGTGAACCCGTGGAGTAAATCCACGGCGTGCTGAACCTGGGAAACGCGCACCGTGGGTGAACAGCTCGTCGAAGTTGAACAGCTCGGGCAACCCTGGGGCCGTGCCGGGGGCATGTTGGGCCATCCTGCGAGCCTGTCTGGGGCGTCTTGAAGGCCGCTTGCGGTTTTTGTGCGCCTTGGGGTATGTTTCCGGGCTGTTTTCCAAAGCATCGTTTGGGAGACAGCCCGAGAACCTAATTGTGCATGCGTGCTGTGAGGTTGCTGTCAGAAGGTCCGCCCTGTCACCCCTAAGGTTCAGGCAGCTGCAGGGTTTGCTGCAGGCTCTCGGAGCTGGGGCTGGACGCTGTCTCCGAATATCCTGGGTGGTCTGCGCCACCTTGGAGCGGTCCGGGGAGGGATCTCGTGGTCTTGTGGCTGTCTCGGGGACCACCAAGAGCTCTACTCGGCCGCAGGGGCGGAGCGATATGCTGGCCCCCGCAATGTCAACAGGTCGACCCCACCCCTTACTCCCAATCGGCCGTACGACATTGCTGCAGGTCCCCCCTTGTCGCCCCTAAGAGGCGGAGTGGAGGCCCCAGAGCGGCGGAAGCCTCGATGATGGAAGGAGGAATAGATCAGAGGAGAACGTCCCCCCTGTCATCTCTAATCAGCCGCAGGGAGGGTCTTGAGGGCGACCCTGGGACATCTGGTCCTGGGATCGCTGTTGTGAGCTCCGTGGGAACTATAGGAATCTCTTCCTGGGACCGCCCTTGGAAACTCTGCGGGAACTGTCGGAGTCTCTTGGCAAGCGTCGGAATATTGGACGAATCTGGGGCATCTCGGAGTGGCCCCTGGGACCGCTCTTAGGAGCTTTGTGGGGACTATCGGAGTCTTTCGGGAGGCGTTGAAACAACTCGGAGTGGTCTGGGGCGTGCCTTGGGGGTCTGGGATTCGAGGCACTTGGGGGCCTTGGGGGCGTTTGGGGTTCGAGAAACGGCGAAACGTGCCGTGGCTCGAGGCACTCTCCTTGGGAGCTCCTTGGGAACCATCGGGATCATTTGGGAGGCCCTGGGGCATGTGGGAGTGGTCCTTGGAGGGTTCTTGATCCACTGGGGGTTGCGCGTCTGGGCTCCCTTCGGCTACATCGAGCCCTCGTGGGGGTCTGTCTGGAGCCTCTAGAAGCCCTCTTGGCCCATTTCTGGGTTTTCTTGGGCCGTCTCGGCCGGCCTCTTCGGCCGTCCTGGGGCCACATAGGGTGTCTCGGGCCGTCTTGAAGCTCGCTTTGGTGCCTGTTCGGCAACTCCTAGGGCCCTCTTGGGCCTGACTTGGGAGCCACCAGGGGCTTTCTTGGGCTTCTCCTGGGCAGTCTTCGGGCCCTCTGGGGTCATCTTGGGAAACTTGGCGGGGTCTCCTGGACCATCTTCGGGCGATCTGGGATGGCCCTGGAGCTGTCTGGGGTTCTTCTTGGGCCGAAATGGCGAGAACATGGAAACCCTCCAAAAACCCAAATTGAACCTATGATCTTGGGCTCGGGGGCGGACCGTCATCGGGGTGCGGTTCAGCCGTTTGCTGAGGCAGCTGGCCCGTCGTTGGGCCGTCTTGGGCTGTTATGAGGTTCTGTTAGGGTCCTCTTGGGCCGTCCTCGCACGTTCGGAGCGTCTCAGAGCTGTCTTGGGTTTGTCAGAGGCCGTCTTGGGACCGACGGGCTCCTTGGAGCCGTCGGAGAGCGCCGGGGCGCTTCGGGCGCTCGGGGGCAGCTGGCGCACTGCTGGCGCACCTCGCACGAACACCGCCTAAAACTCAAGTACAGAAGATGACGTCGGGCTCCAACTTCGCCTCCAACATCTCGCTCAGCAGCGTAAGCGCCGGCTGCCACTGCTCGCTCTTCTCGCACGCGCTGATCCCAGCGTTGTAGCTGACTAGGGCTGACCCGTGGACTCCGTCCACGACATCTTTCTGGAATGGTTCTCGGAGGAACGGCGCAGATTGTACCGAAAATCTACAAACACGGCGGCGGCTCGGGCGGCGGCAGCGAGACCGCGCCTTCGTGTCCGAGCTCTTGCAGCGCTCCAGCAGCTTGGCCCAGCGCACTGCTCGTTCACCCCCCTCCTATTGAGGACAGTTTCGAAGTCTCTCGGGAATGTGCGTCGAAGTCGAAGCCCATCTGAGGCGTCTCAGGAGCGCTTGGGGAAGGGCTCTGGAGACCATCGGGGAAAGCCACCGAAAGCGCCGGGTAGGCTCGCAAGGATCTACAGGGAGGGCCCAAGAGAGCTTCAAGAAAATTCGAAATTCTGTAAAATATTTAGAGAAACCGCTGTTGGGTAGGCCATCACCTCCGGGCGCGCCTTGATGGTGCGTTCCAGTCGCATCACCGCCAACGGGAGGGTTTGTTCGCCATGTCCCATTCTGTTCGCCCAGAGGGTCTGTGGAGGCCTTCGGGCGAACAGAACGGGACAGGGCAAGGAATGGGGAAGACTTGTCCGAATCTCCTGGGCCCCCCAGGTGCTCGTCCGAAGAATGCGGAGAGGTCCCAGGGTCATATCAATTGGCTGCTGTCCCAGGGGTCCGGTCTGCTTGGCCCGAAGAGTTTGCCAAGGCCCCTGGGGGAACAGAATGGCACAGCATATCGGGCAAAGGGGGGCGGTAGCTGGCCTGTCAGACCCGGCGTTCGTCTTCTGCCCAAGCGGCGCGGGGCCCACGGGCCCCAGGGTTGGCGGCCCGCTGGGTTTCCTCTTGTTCGCCCACAGGGTTGGAGGAGGCCTCCAGGCGAACAGAATGGGGCAGGACAATGAATGTGGGAGACTTGTCGCAAGCTCCCAGCCCCCCCAAGTGTGCGCCCGAAGGGTGTGGGGCCGCGTTGGCTCCCTCAAAGGGCCGTCTTGGAGCCGTCCATGCCCGTCTTGAGGGCGCCGTTTGCCGTGATGGGGCCGTCTTGGTTCGTCGTGGGCCCCTCATGGGCGCGTCCGTAGGCCGTCCTGGGCCCATCGAGGTCCTCGTGGGGCTGTCTTGGAGCCGTCTGGGACCGTGAGGGGGCCGCCTTGGAGTCGTCTTGGGCCCCTCCTGTGCGCCTCCTTGGGCCGTCCTGGGCCCAGCAGGGGCCGTGTTGGCACCCTCTTGGGGCTGTCTTGGAGCCGTCTTGAGCCGTCGCAGCGCGCCTTGGGTTGTGCTGGGTCCGTCTTGGCCCGTCTTGGGGCCTTCCTGGGCGTTTCCTCGGACCCTCCTGGGACTTTCTGGGGCCTCTTGGTGCATCGGACCGCCGAAACGGCGGGAAACGCAAAGGGTGTCACAGTAAACAATGGAAAATCAACGATTTTTGCCAGCTGGGGCTCTCTTGCCATCTTGGCCCGTCTTGAGGCCCCGACCGGGCGCGTCCTTGGGCCGTCCTGGGCGCACCCTCCTGGGACCGTCTTGGAATCGTCTTGGGCCGTCTTGAGCGCGCCTTGGGCCGTCCTGGGCCCGTCTGGGGCCGTGTTGGCACCCTCGCGGCGAGGAAGCTCGGAGGCGGGCTCGAGGCCTCTTTGGGGCCATTTTGGAAGCTGTTGGGGCCTCTGTTGGGGCCTCGTTTTGGGCTCCTTGGGAGCTTCCTGGGGCCTCTTCGGGGGATTCTTGGCGGCCCCTTGGGGCCTCTTGGGGGCCTGTTTGGGCCTCCTGGCGCCCTCTTGGGGCGGAAGGCTCGGATTTTCGGTCCGTGGTCCTTCTCTTGGCCCCCTCTTGGGCCTGTCTTCGGGCCCTCGTGGGCCGTCTTGAGCGTCTCTTGGGTCGTCTTGGGGCCCTCTTGGGCTGTCTTGGGGCGCTCTTAGAAACCTCTTGGGCCGTTCTGGGGCGCTCTTGGAGGCCTCTTGGGCCGTCTTCGAGCGTCGGAAAGCGGAAAAGGCGAGAAGGCCAAAATCCTTCCAAAACCGTCGTAAAGCGGATGATGTTGAGGCCCAAAACCGTCCAAAACCTCCTGAGGCGGTCCCCTCGTCCGCCCCCCTCGCTTCGAAGCAGTTTTTAAGCCCCGTGGCACCTCTTGGGGACCTCTTTTGGGCTCCTGGGGGCCTCTTGGGCCTCTCTGGGCTCGTCTATCGCGCCCCTTGGGCTGTCTTGGGGCCCCCTAGGGCCTTCTTGGGCGGTCCTCGGGCCGTCTTGGAGCCATCTTGGGCCGCTCTTCGGGCCATCTTGGGGTCCCGTTGGCCTGTCTTGGGCGCCTCTGGGGCCGTCCGGGGGCCGCCTTGGACCGTCTTGGGGCCCTCTTGGACCGTCTTGGGGTCCTCTTGGGGACCTCGTCGACCGTCTTGGAGCGGTCTTGGATGCCTCTGGGGGGGGTTCGGAGCGTCGGGAAGCCGAAAAAGCGAGGAAGCAAAAACCTCGGGGAAACGAATGAAAATCAACGATTTTGGCCTCTCGGGCCTCTCCTGGGATGCCTCTTGGGAGGCCTATTGGGCCGTCTTGGCGAACTCTGGGCGGTTCCTCGGGCCGTCTTGGAGACATCTTGGGCCGCTCTTCGGGCCATCTTGGGGTCCCGTTGGCCTGTCTAGGGCGCCTCTGGGGCTGTCCGGGGGCCGCCTGGACCGTCTTGGGGCCCTCTTGGACCGTCTTGGGGTCCTCTTGGGGACCTCGTCGACCGTCTTGGAGCGGTCTTGGATGCCTCTGGGAGGGTTTCGGAGCGTCGGGAAGCCGAAAAAGCGAGGAAGCAAAAAACCTCTGGGAAACCAATGAAAGTCAACGATTTTGGCCTCTCGGGCCTCTCCTGGGATGCCTCTTGGGAGGCCTATTGGGCCGTCTTGGCGAGCTCTGGGCGGTCCTCGGGCCGTATTGGAGCCATATTGGGCCGCTCTGCGGGCCATCTTGGGGTCCCACTGGCCTGTCTTGGGCGCCTCTGGGGCCGTCCTCGGGCCGCCTTGGACCGTCTTGGGGCCCTCTTGGACCGTCTTGGGGTCCTCTTGGGGACCTCTTCGACCGTCTTGGAGCGGTCTTGGATGCCTCTGGGAGGGTTTGGGAGCGTCGGGAAGCCGGAAAAGCGAGGAAGCAAAAACCTCGGGAAAACCAATGAAAATCAACGATTTTGGCCTCTCGGGGCTCTCTTGGGAGGCCTCTTGGGAGGCCTATTGGGCCGTCTTGGGGAGCTCTTGGGCCGTCTTGGGCCAATCTTGGGCCAATCTTGGGCGTCTTGGCCGGATCATTGCGCGTCTCGGGGCCCTCCTGGGCCGCCTTCGGGGCATCTTGAGCGGCTCGGAGCCGTCTTTGGGCCGTCGGGGCGGCCTCTGGAGCGTCTCGGAGCCGTTTCCCGGCATTTGACTGGATTTCCTTCCGGCACGCGCTTCCTCCGGCCATATAGTATAGACTAGGGCAGACCCGTGGACTACGCCCACAGCATGCGGCCCAGTCTGGTCACAATTCCCCCCAGCGGCCACGAAAGCTTGCGCGCATGCAAGGGTGAGGTTCGACTGTATGTGCGAGCTCCTCTCTGCAATGCTGCCAGCGACGTTGCCGGCCGGGCGGCTGATCGCCTACTTTCTTTGTTGCCTGCTTCACTGCGTGCTCCTCCGCTCGCTGCCGCTCGCTGCCGCTTGCTGCTTGGGACCGTCTTGAGGTCATCTTGTAATGGAGCGTTGCGTTACCAACCCCCTCCCCCCCCCCTCAGGGCCGCCCGCCATTCTTCGCCGATGTCGACGCACGTACCTCTGGCAATCTTTTCTAGCAATCTTTGGCCGCCCAAGAGTTTATAATATTTCTTCGCCTCAACGAAGGTTCATCAATCTTGAACTTGAGCTGTGGGCCGTCTTCGAGGCGCGCCGGGCCACTCCGAGGCCGTGAGAGGCCCTGCGTGCGCGGAAGGTGCCCAGGGGGCAGGAGAAACGAGCGATCTCGAGGAGGAGTGAGGGGAGATGAGCAAGGAGAGAGGAGCGTTGAGCTGGGCGAGGGAGCGAGGAGAGAGGGTCCAAGAACGACAAGCACACGAATCTCCCAACGGATTCGACGCGCGCGTGGCCAGACCTTGCAGCAAGGAGGTGGGGAGATTTCCGAAACGCGCATCTCCGGTCCTTCTGCGCCGAGACGCTCCTGGAGTCCGTCCTGGAGCCGTGTAGAGCTTGAGGACAAAATTTAACGCCTGGGCAGTGCGTTAAATCCGAGGCAAGCCGGAGGCCTCAGCGACGGACCCCGGGAGCCGCAGACAAAATTTAACACGCCACCCTCGCGATAAAGTTTGTCCTCAAGCTCGGGGGGCGCGGGACCCTCACGTTAAATCTCGGTCTCGGGCCCAGACCACGCGTAAAATTTCGCCCTCGAGCGGTCATGCCGCGCACTGTGGCGGCCTTGGTGGACCTCCATGGGCTCGGGTCGGAGCCGTCGTAGGCGGCGTCGGGAGGCTCCTAGGGCGTCTCGGTGCTATCCTTGAGGGTGTCTGGTGCCGTCTGGAGCCATTCCAGGGCTCCCTGAGAGCATCGTCGGCGGCCAGAGCCAGGAAAAAGCTGGAAGGGTGACATTGTTTTGATGATCCCGGCAAAGCAACCTAAGAGCAATGTGTAGGAGCATATCTGGAAGCATTCCCCTTAAGATTCCGATGAGACTCCAGTTGTAGAATTCTGCTGTTCTCGCAGTCGTAGTCGCATTCGCGATGACAGTCGCAGTGGCAACGGCAGTCGCAGTCACAGCCTCAGCCTCAGCCTGCCTCAGCCTCAGCCTCAGCCTGCCTCAGCCTCAGCCTGCATAAGCCTCAGCCTCAGCCTCAGCCTCAGCCTCAGCCTGCTTCAGCCTCAGCATCAGTCTGCCTTCAGCCTCGGCCCCAGCCTCAGCCTGCCTCAGCCTCACCCTGCATCAGCCTCAGCCTCAGCCTCAGCCTCAGCCTGCCTCAGCATCAGCCTGCCTCAGCCTCAGCCTCAGCCTGCCTCTACCTCAGCCTCAGCCTGCTTCAGCCTCAGCCTCAGTCTGCCG